GATCATAACCCTAATGGAAAGATGAAAAACACAGGAAACAGCACTTTAAAAGAAGGGGAGAATTAATAAAATGATGTAGTGCTGACCAGCAGTTTCTATTTCCCCTGACAACAGCTCACAGTGCTTGCCCAACATGCATGAGGCCCTGGGTTCAATCCTCAATGGAACAGAATGGAACAGAAGAGAAGAAAACCTCACACACACCTGGAATATGTCTGGCAGTTTCCGCAGTCTTGTACCTTTGGACAGTAAGAGAGATGGCGGTCCTTGCCCAGTGACATGGTAAATGTACAGTTTAAACCACACAGAACTCACTTCTGGGATAGCTGGTCCAATATGCTATAACCAAAAAATAGGTAAGATAAAGCTGTAACACTTAGCTAAAGAGTCAAATTTCACAAGTGACCAAGCACAGTCCTCTAAGTAGCAAGCGCTTCATACATATTTCAATTACTATTATCCTTATGAAGGTAGAAGCTAATTAGTTAATCCGTATACTGCTTCAGAGTGGACTGCCTTGGCCTGAGCCTAGGTTTCATCCCTCCAGCCACATCTCCTCAGCAAAGTTCCTTAAACCCCTCTGTGCCTCATTTGTCCATCACAAAAGCACAAGAATGTGGTACCACATGAAGACACTGTACAGACGCTGAAACTAGTGCCTGGCAAATAAGCTCCACATTACAGGAGCCGTTTTCTTCACCACCACCACCACCACCACCACCACCATCACCAATCACGCACTATTTTTCAAAAGAAAGAAATCTGTGCAGACAGGCCATAGACTCCCACTGTGAGCACACACGGAGTTAAACAGGAGGCGGTGTAGAGGACTACACAAAAGGCTGGTTAAAAGAAAATCTAGGACGATTGCTGATAACACAAGACCACAGTTCTGGCATGGGGATGTGTGACAACCTGAGGCAACTGAAGCACACAGGCAGCAAAAATGAATTTGGTACCAAAACCCCTTCCTCCTTTCCGTGTCATGCAGGCCTGCACTCGTGGGAGCCCGGGCAGGATGGACCCCGGCACAGCAGTGTAACCTCCATCTCTGACAATGTTACCAGTGCGCCTTCCTTGCTGAGTATATAAAGACATGCATCTCATTTATTCTTCACAAGCAAAGACCAGTAGTGGTTCCGAGGAGCTCTACAGTCAACTACAAAGTTCTAGACTGCAAAGCCCGTCGTTTCTTCTCAGCTAAATCAGCACCACAACTCCACTTTTCTGAAACAGCCGATGACATTTTCCTATGTAAATCCATCCAAGCTTTCCTCCTGGAGCACTGAAAATGCTCTCCTACAACACTCACATTAATGCATTCTGAATCGAATGTGTCACCAGTCACTTAATGATCAACAAGCTAAATATACCATTATACTTCACAGCTTGAATGCAGCAGCATCTTACAACAGAAAACTAACTGACCTGTTTCTTTAAGGGAGCAATCACACTCCCGCCTGGAGCCTCCAAGTGAGTCCTTACCTGAGGGGTACAGCTGCTGACTGGCCGGATTTCATTGGTAAGGGGTGCCATGGAAACAAGCAGCGTGTAATTTTTGTTGAGAACTCTGCTACAAGTCGCCGGGTCTAAACCAAGAAGGCTTTCACAGCGTAAGAGATCCAGGGGAA